GTCTGCTCAATCTAGCTTAGCAGCTGTTTATGTTGAAAATTAAGTTGTTTAAATGAATTGCCTTAGAACTTGTTCACCTTAGCTTTGCTATAAACTTCAATTATATAGCAGCCAACACAAAGACCAAGACAATTTAATATAAATGGTTTCTTGCCTTACCTTCAGAGCTGTTTCTATAATTATGCATCCAAAATAATTTCACATTTGCCCAATGCCAACTGTATCACTTCTCACTAACAGCCAGCAAACTGATTATGTCATTAACTGTTAATCATGAGTAATCTTTCTAAAGCAGTTGTTGCTTTCTGGAAACAAAGGGATGAAAATGAATCATTATTATGAACTGAAGTCCGGAAATGATAGCATCTTGAAACTATTTTAATAAATTTCTATGTGCTAGTATCAAATTCCTTAATTGTTAATTTAATGGAGCTGTTCAAAGCAATTGACACGGTACCTTTGTTAAAATGATAGACAGGATACATTAGATCACAGTAATGATTGCAATGCTGGAAGCCAGATTCAATAGATGTGAAGCTGAAAAAGCACAGCAGGTCTGACAGCATCCAAGGAGCAGGAAAGTCAACGTTTCAGGTTGAAACCCTTCCAAAGGATTGCAGATTAGGTGGCTTGGCTCTGCTAAATTGCCCCTAGTGTCCAGGGATATGTAGGTTAGGTGGATTAGCTGTGGGAAATGCAGGGTTACAGGAATACGATAGCGGGGTGAGTCTGGGTGGGATGCTCTCCAGAGTCAGTATGGACTTATTGGGCCAAATGGCCTGTTTCCATACCGTAGGGATTCTATGAATATTCTATTCATTTGTTGTAGGGACAACCCAAAAGAACACAAAAGCTCAATTTTTAACAACTAAAGAGTTAGTAATTTCTTAAGGGGATTGACAAGAGAAATTTATTTTTCAGAGTGGTCAGGGAGCACTTGCTCTCACAATTTTGAGTTCTTTGATCAACATTATACCTACAAGTCATTCATTCATTATTTTATTCCATAAAGAGAATCATTTAGTTTTAGAATTCAATGATGTGTGTGCACAATTGAACTCTAGATTCTCAGTACTTCCTGTAGAGAAACTTGAAAATGATAGTTCAACTGCTTTAACTAGTGAATAAATAAAACATAAAGAAAAAGCAGATCTTATGTTCCATACCTGGTCTATGTTGCACAACAAGGAATCGACCCTTTCAGAACAGGTGGGAAAGCGATGTAACTGTCAAGTCAAAATGGCAAAAATAACTGGCTGTTCCTTTGTAAAAAAGAAAATTACTGGCAAATTGCCTTTGAGACTTTCCACAGTCAATTGATGAAGGTTTTTAATATGTAAAACATGGTGTTATGCTTCAGAAGCTTGCTCCATTAGGCCACCTAGTGGCTGCAACTACGCAGTCACAGACAACAGCAAAATTAAATGGGAAATGTTGACATAGCAATTTATAATGAAAGTGGAAATGTGTCGAAAATTCATAAACACCAGAAGTAGCATACTTACTTATGAACAGAACATTAATTTTTTGCCCAAATAGCATTCTCCAACAGCTTAGCTTGGAATATATATGCCATAGACAATACTTAACATATATTTTAAATTGACCCTAACAATTCTTTAAACATATTTTAAACATTAATCTACGGTTTTTCCTTCAAATCATGCATAGACTTGGTCAGGATCTTTATGAAACATCTTCTTTTCACTTTTTCTTGTTGGAAGGAAGTACCAACAAAGTTGGTTGGGTTATCCAAAGTACAGTTTAAACATTGCTCATTCTTCAACTGATTTATGAAAAGTATTTGAGTCTTTATATACACTTGAAAAACCGACTGATTATTTGTTACCCACAGCTTGGTTCAGGCATGTCACATGTGCAAAATGTCTGTGGGCAGCAATGTGGGTGCTTGTGATTGTGTATTATGTATCGTTCTATGTTAATTACATTAACGTTAAATTTACACTTTCATTTCATTTGATTTAGCATCGATCTGTTAATTTATGTTTGTTTTGATTCTGATTTGTTTTAAAGTAGAAGTTACAAAAAGTGAAATTAGAATCCCTACAGTGCAGATAGAGGCCATTCAGTCCATCAAGTCTGCACCAACCCTCCAAACAGTATCCCACCCAGATCCAACCACCCCAAACCCATAACCCTACATTTATCATAGCTAATCCACCTAGCCTGCACATCTTTGGATGGTGGGAGGAACCAAAGCACCTGGCAGAAACCCACTCAGACATAAAGCAAACTCCACACAGTCACCCAAGGTTAGAATTGAACCCAGATCCCTGGCACAGCAAGGCAGCACTGTGTCACCCTAACTTGGTAGCAATTTTTTCATTTGGCCATTCTGTAAATTTGATCAATTTTTGGTTTAAAATTCTCTCACCAAGTTTGTAATAAATTGTCCACTAAAAGAAGCATAAAATGTCAAACTTCAATGAGGACACCTCTCCACGGCCACAATTAAAAGGTAACATCACTTAGGAAGGAATACACCATTTCATCTTCCTAATCCCAATTTGTATTTTTAACAACCATTAAATGTATTGGACACAAATATATGCAAAACAAAGCTGAATCATGAAAACGATGCAGTGTTTGATGTTGCACTAACTCTCCAAAGGGTATTTGGTGATTTCAGTTTCTAAAGAACAATCTTCCAATGTTCAATCATAGCAATCGCAATTGAACTCCAGAAGAAGGATTTGTCCTTTGTACATGTCTGCACTCAAGATGTTTTAGTGCATTTCTTCTCAGTTTGCTCATGTCATCTGGTGCTTCTAAGTTCAAGAACTTCCCAGATGCAATTACTATCTGTAATTTGTCAGCAGATATGATATTCAATCATATTTGTCACAACAAGAAATGCAATCTAAGTGCTTTTTGTTCAGCCATGGCAAGATACACTACTAAAACAGAACTACACTTCCAATAAGGCATAGCCTTTGAGTAAAAGCAAAGCAGTTGAGATTAAACAGCTTGAGTCATAGTAAGAAGGTTTTGTTGTTTTTCTGGGATAAATAGCTTAAAGAAATAAGGAAAACATACTGTTTTGCAGAAAATTATTAATGTTAATTTGCAAATTCTCATTGCATATTTTGGAAGATCTTACATGTTAATGGGCTGAGAAACATTAATTGAGCCAATGTAAAAGGGAAGATAACAGATTCAAAGTCTTCAATCAAATGACAACTTCTAAGTCATTAAGTGGTACTCTCAGTTGGCACCATGAATGAAGAGATAAGACATGCCAGAAGCTTGAAGCATTTATATAGATGGAGCAGGGTACAGAATGTTTATTATATGTTGTGGTATTGTGTTATTCGTAATTCATAAAATTTTGGAAACTTCCTGGAGCATGATCACTATCAAACGTCTTTAACTAAAGTAACAAGAATATAATTGAACTATTATATGTTGCTCAGGTTAAAAATTATGAGGTAGAGACGTACCAAATCAGGAGATATTGAAGATAGCAAGTAAATTTTTGGAGAACAGAAAGGATGGGGGTTTCAAAAAAAAGCCAGAAAGTTTCTTAGATAATTAACTAGAGTAGAATAAACAGTGGTTAGAGGATAAAAAGAATCTACACAAGTAGAGATTTTAAAAATGTTAGTTAAATTAGTGTGTTTATCTTACTGGTGTCTATGATGGTCCTGTGCAGTAACACTGGTGGATTTTACTAAAATTGGCACACGCTATAATATGTGAATCCTCTTTGTAGCTTATTACAGCAGTGCACTGCACAAATAGTACATATGACTTGAAAACACTCCCAAAAAATGCAACACTTGCATGTGTGAATTTATCTGTGGCTACATTTTTTTTGAACACGTCAAAGACAGCAGACTTACAGGCTACAAAAGAGTCATGGGTAACTGGAAACTTTGATAGTTGCATTAATAGACATCCATGCACTGACATTTCTAATGTCAGCAAGAATCTATTTAGTTCCAAAAGACAATTTTGTGATTTGATGAATTGTTTCATTACAGTTAGCATTTTGTCACTTTCCATATGTGTTTTGCTTTAAACAATATAATTAAATGTTCATGTTTGATTCATATTCATTTTCACTAACATACAGTTCCACATTAATTAGTATACTTTTGCAATTATGCAATTTTGGAATTTTTAAACACTTTCATTTTTTCAATCTTTAGAAAAAAAAACTCTCCAAAGCATTTTCGTGCATCCTGGTTGGCTTTTGAAGAGAATTGAGACATGTTATTTAAGTTAGCATTTTTCTTGATTTCTCATGACAACTGAAATGAACCATTACAGCAGAGTTTCCCTCAGGAACCTGCAAGTTATCAATGTCCAGTTGTGTACAAAATTTAAGATACTTATTTGCTAACATGCAGATTCTAATTATTCCCCTGACCATTGTAGCGAGAATCTGATTCGAGGTTAGTAAAAATCTCAAGGATACTCACATAAGATAAACTGTCAGAATTTTTAAAGCATTTACTATAGCCCCACCACATCTTTAAACCATGCTTCAATGGGCAAAATATTGAAGTTTATAAGTATGTCTGAGTGGGCAACGTTTGCTTTACGTACACAATAGTAAAAGCACTTTATGAAACTAATGTTTGCTAATGACCTTGACTTCTGTAACTTGTCTTCTCATCAAACTTCAATCTATAAAGAAATAAGACATGGAAAAGCAATGTTCCAAAAGAATGATCCGCTTAATGTGAAGCTAATAATCTGTCATGGAACAGATCATGCTGACCTATTGTTAATTTTTTGAAACTGGATACTTGCGGAAGGGTCTGTGGAAAGAACTGTGTTTAAAAAAAAGTTCACTACAGTTGCCATTGCATTGAAACACGGCCACAAACTGAGGCTAAGTTTTAATTACTTTTTTTCCACCAACTTAATGTTTCCATTCTAGGCACTACATATTTCAGTTTAAACTATCGTGGATGTTAAATGGAGGTTGAGAACTTTGCCCTTTTAATAAGTAAAACGGTTTATTAAGTGGGTGTCACAACTTTGGAGGTTCTCCGTGCATCACAGCATTGGGACTGTCACAACTCTGCATCAATCACAATTGATGGATATAAGCATACAACAACATGGCGGATATTAGATAACGCGCAGGAGGAACCCAGTGTGTTGAGTGCCTGCATCTGCTTTCCTTCAGCCTGGGAATGTACACACATTTGCCAGTGCTTTTCTGCGCGGTTTGAACGCAGGCAAAACAAGACAGAAGGCAGAGCGTGACCCTCGGACTGCGAGCACTGTTCATTCAGACCTCATAGCCATGGGTGAAGGAAGGGGTTGAGCCTACAGTCACTTCAACCCGCACACGGACATTCCAGGGGGATAAAGCCAACCTAGTGGCTGTCAAATACAGGGCAGTACACAATGGACACGCTACATCGGTCTGAAAAATTGCTGCAACGTGTTAAGCGTAGATTAGATTCAGGGGCGAGCCGGAGCGAAAGTCTTTGCATATGCAGGTCGAACATGATGCTACTCACTCAAGGACGAGACCGGGTGCAGTGGAGTGATGTGATTTTTTTGTTTTCCTAAAAAAAATATACGTTTGCAGCAGCTCTTGGGACTCTCTCGCTCGTCCACTTGCAAACTGACACAAGGCTCGCTCTGAACATTGTCAACGACGCGTTGCCAAAGATTAACAGAGTGGGGCGGCGAGGGGTGCATTTTGTGTGTGTGCGTTCTGCAACGCTGCTGTTCCTCAACCCTTCCAGCTGGCTTTGGAAAAGGAGCGACGCCGAGGTGATTGGGGGCGCAGGGTAGCCTTTCGGTCACATTCAGAAGGACCCGCGGTGCTATCTTCATTTCCGAACCGCGGGGCGGAGACCATGAACGGCTTGGCTCCAAAGCTGCCTTCGGAGTGTATACATACACTGGACGTCGCCTGTTGCAGCGATCGCTTGAAAGCGTGATCCTTCGTCTTCATTTAAAATTACCGCTTGGGAAGAACCCCACCCCCCTCCTTCCCCTTCTCCCACCCAACCCCCAACCTTTTTGGCTTTGCTAAGTTTGTGTTTTCACTCCGCGATCGCCCAATACATGTTTGCAGGCGGCAGTTTTATGTCGCGGCCATTGCGACTTTGAGGCAGGTCCTGGCCTCAGGATAAACAAGAACAGTCAAGTTGTCTTAAAGACAGAGACGGACAGCTCTCCCCCTCTATCACCACCCCCACCCCGTCCTTCTATTTCCAGAACCCCGCGGTTTCCCAGTTTGTGCGTCGAGAGAGAGAGAAAGGCTCGAGTTGCCTCATGTCCCGAGGAACAAGTCGCCCAAAGGACAACTTCACTGTGAAGAGACTCAAAAGTATTTCTGGAAGATTCTAACACCCCCAGGACACACACACACACACAAAAAAAGTTTGCGGGACCAGTTGAAATTGGGAGCTGTTTTACCGTGCGGTCATCCCGCTGCAGTTTAATGAGTTGTGACTTTATTTTAATCGTGCAGGCGGGATGCTGAACGCTGAACTGTCATTGACTCTCTGTCCCTGGATTCTGAAGCGCTACTTCCTCGCTTCCCTGTTCTTTCTCTTTCAGGTGAGTGCAGGAGTAAGTTTGTCAAGCGCCGTTTGTTTTCTGCTCTCCCCGGGCGTGCACACACACACACTCTACATGCTTGTGGTTTAATACAAGTTTGTTTTCTTCCCCTCCTTCCGCTCTCTCAGCTTTCTCAGGGCGAACTCCAGAAATCAGGCGGGAGATCGGTTTTTGAGACGGGGACTGACGACTGCCATGAGATCTGTTCGTGTCGACTACCCCCGTTACCCCCTCCACCGCCACCCCCTCCACCACCCAGGCAATTCGTGTTTCCAAGTAAGTGGCTACCATCCATCTTCGAACCCCCACCCCCCAGCAGAGATTCTGTGTGTGTGTGAGTTGCAAATAGCTCACACAAGCGATGCACAGCAAAAATTGAGTGGAACTAGGGCTAGCCCTCTTTCCTATTGAGCATCTTCCTCTGACCTCAGTGAGGACAATTCGCTCCGCGGTAAGAGATGGACGTGGTCCCAAACCTCCCCAACCCTTTCCGCCCTCATCTGGACCTCCCTTGGCCGAGTTCTCTCGTTGCCTAGCTTCGTGTTGTGCGCGTCACTGCTGACACCACGGTTCACTTCCACTCAGCAGCAACAGTGACAAAGGCTCCAATTGCAAGTGAAGTGTTGCAGCACTGGGAGATTCCAGTTAGTTTCTGAAGAATTTTTACTATTTCGAGATCCTTGAGCCGCGTTAGAGCACTCACAGCATGAGTGCCATTTCATATAAGTCTAACTGATTGTAAAAATTGTAGATCTCAACCTCTCCCAAAAAAAGTGCAACACCCATCAATTTAGTATAGCATAGATATTTATTATACAGGATTCTTACTTTTCCTAATTAATTCTGCTGGGATATATACCGCGTGAACTAAATGACATATATAAACTTGCTGAAAACTGCTACACAATAGCTTAAAACAGTTGGCAAATAATATATTTATTGGACAAAGTTAATTACAGTATACTGTACAGAGTTCATTTGCCACCAGTCAGCACTCTCCTGTTATACAGCATAAATGCTGTTTTCCCATTACATTGATATTGTTGCAAATTGTTATATTGAGTCAAAGATGAAAAGCTTTGATAAAATGCCTTTTTACAGCCATGCTTAAGTTCTGTATTAAGACATTATATTTAATTACAGTGGGAAAATCATCATTTCTGTGGTCCAGGGCAAAGGCCACTATTTGTTTCATCACTCTTTTAAGGAAGAAACATCAAAAGCTTAACTTGCAAAACCTACTCGGGTCTATCAAATATTTAGTTGCGTTCAGACATAACTCCCCTCAGCATAAATGTTTTCCTCCCTTATCAGTGAATGTTGGACTATTTTCACATCAGTACTGGTGACATTTTTAATTCAATTTTTATATTCGCTTTTATTGACGGTAATTATTCAGGATTTTGTTTTTTCTAAGATTTATGAAATACTGAGCGGATGTCCATGAACTGCAAGCTTTCAGTGAAAGCCTGCCTCAGGCTCTAGCTAGATAACAATAGATCAAGTCAGTGCATAGCTGGAGCAAATTACATCATTGTAGTCATGAGATTATGCAACTTAAGGTTAATAATTGTGCTGTTCATCCCTTCAAGTGGATCTGTTATTGTGATAGCATGTGGAAAATGATTTATTTTTCTATGGTTGGCATGAATATTACAAGGATTTGGGGCAAATGAAGTGAAGCAGTAACCACCATGGTCAGTTTTGTTTTTCACTTTTTTTGTTCAAAATTGTGTTCAATGTAGTGCTGCTAATTTTAATGACTGTGCTACACAATGTGCAGTGAAATAATTTGAGAGGTATACATTAACAGTGAACCATCTACTTGCTCGTATCTAATCTGCAATACAGATTGCACAAATTTCAAAAATCAAAATATAAATTTATTTTAAAAATTACTATTGTGCATTAACATTTAGAAATGATCTCAACAGGCAATGTTTGTTTTGTTTACCAACAGCTTTTAGAAGGAAATCTTTGTGAGGAAGTATGCATAATCACTGGACCTTTGAGACAAATTAGATCTTTGTTGAGAATAGTTTTGGCATGAAGTGTAAGTCAAAGGGAAAATAAGATATTCTTTTAATTTCTAATTGAGCTTTTTTTTTCTTCCTGTAGGACCATTTCAAATAACGTTTGGGTCATGGGTTGAAATTCAAAAAACCTTAGCTCTCCAGAGACCCATGTAATGAAGAGTAATTTGCCCATAAACTCAGTAGAAAATACCTATCTGCTACAAGAAGCTTGAAATGGTCATTACTTCTACTGAATAAATTTTACCCTGCTCTCTCTGTCAGTCACAACTTATATTTATAAAGCAACTTTGACATAATAAAACAAATAAGGTCCTTTACGTAAGTGTTATAAAGCAAAATGTTAGCCCAACCATTTTAGGTCAGATGAGCAAAATATTGGTCGGGGAGATATGTTTAAAAAGGACAAAAGTAAGGGTGAGAGGCAGAAAGATGTAAGGAATGTATTCCAGTGCTTAGGGCCTAGTCAGAGTAATATTATCTTCCCAAAACTTTCTTCACTATCTACATAATTGTATATCTATTAATGTTGTTATAGCTTAAATTTATAATCACATAGAACATTTTAATATAAATGTGACTCTGTCTTATTCCTTATAAGGCAAACTCACTTAGAAATACATTACCCTAATTTATAGTTGTAATCGTTAAAGGGAAACAGCTACTTGTTTCAATGTATACATACACAGAAAAGCCGTAAATACTCTTGCTTTCTTGCATTGTTAGTGGATACCCTGTGGCATTGTTCACATTAAATGAGATGGTGCCCTCTGTCCAAGGTACAGGAGTTTAATACTATGTAAAGCACTGAATATTATTCTGGTAAAATTGATTGTGTCCTGTTTAACAAAACAAAGTCTAATTGTTCTTAAGTAATCATAAAATTGGTTCATCTAGAGTTTGATTGTTATTTGATTCAGCTCCCAAGAGAAAATGCACCCTGTAAGTAACCAGATTTACTTGTGATTGCTTTCATTTGTAACAAATTACTCAGAATCTGCAGTATCTGCGGCATGACATGGACTCTCGTGGCATTGTAGCAGCGTTGCTACTTCTAGACCAGGAGCCTGTATTCAATTCCCATTTGCTCTAGGGGTGTGTAGTTACATCTCTGAACAAGTTGATGAGGAAAAACACCTACAACATGACAGTTTTAGAGAACAGCCATACTGGACTAAAAACGTTAACTTTAAATCTCTGTGCAGATGCTGCCAGATTTGCTGAGTTTCTCCAGCAATTTCTGTGTTTGTTGCAATGTGACATCTGTCTGAACTGATACGGCATTTTCATTTTTGCCACTAAGTACTGAACATAACAAGTCCAGGATGTGCTGATTGGGTACACTAGATGAAAATGTGAAAGAAAGTGTGCCTGAATTTACTGAAATGCGCAAATCAATCAGCAACTCCAGTTAACTGTAGATTGATATTTAAGCATGAAAATCTTGTAAATAGCTGTCGGAGATATGTTGCATTGCCATAGTTGTGTAAAATATCATGTTGGTGTCTAATTTACTATTCAAGTATCCTGGCCAGGTAAGGTTACTGTGCTTGCAGCATAGATAATGCACTAAACTGCAGAATTTAGGACTTGCTGATATCAATTTTAGTAAGAGCTGTATACCAGAATGGTTTTAGCGATGGAGCATTATAATTTTAGGGATCAACTCGAGAAACTGGACAACTCTACTTTGAACAGAAGAATCTAATTGGAGATTTGATATAAGTACTTGAGTGCGGAAGCAGGACATTCAGCCCATTGAGTCCACACTGACCCTCTGCAGAGCATCCCACCCAGACCCACCTTCCCTACCCTGTAACTCTGCATTTCCCATGACTAACTCACCCAAGCCTGCACATCCCTGGACAGTATGGGCAATTTAGCATGGCCAGTCCACCTAACCTACACATCTTTGGACTGTGGAAGGGAACTGGAAAAAATCCACACAGACACGAGGAAAATGTGCAAACTCTACACAGTCGCCCGAGGGTAGAATCAAACCTGGGTCCCTGGTGCTGTGAGGCAGCCGTGCTAACCACTGAGCCACTGTTTTGGCCCATTGTTATGAAGGGTTTAGCAAAATATTAAATAAGACGTTGTTTCCAGTGGCTAATGGGTTGATAACCTGGAGGCATATACTTAAGATGACAGACAAAAGAAGTAGAGGTGGCCTGTGCAAAATTTTTCACACAAAAAGATAGGATTTGGAATGCACTGCATGGCAGGATTTTGGACAGATTCAGTATATTTTTTAAAGGAATTGGATAAATCATCAAAAGAGAAACAAATTACTAATGATAAAGAAATAAGCAGGTGAGTGGTAATAACTGGATTTTTCTTCAAAATAACTGGACTGAATGGATTTGTGTGTTATTCTATTCAATAAGTTTTAAGGACACTTTTTATGGAGTGCTACTATTAATTACTCTAAAATGACCTCTCTGGCACTGAAACTAATCATTTAGAAGTATGGTGCTGCATTCCTTTATTTTTCAATTTTTATTGAAATTTTATTTTTCGTGGTTTTAATCTTGTTAATTGTTTAATTTTTTTGATTGTATGTTACCTTTCTCTTAATTTAGTCTTTTATTTAAGGTTTTGGAGTAGATCTGTAGCTCGGGTTGTGGGTGTTGAGGTTGGTTGGCTTGCCGAGCTGGTTTGTTGTTTTGCAGACGTTTCGTTACCATGCTTGGTAACATCCTCAGTGCAGCCTCCGATGAAGCGTTGGTGCGTTTTCCCACCTGGTTTTTAAACTCTGGGGACTGTTGAGATGGATTGCCTCACTTCCGGTTTTCCTTCGTAGTGGAATGTATATGGGGTCGAGTTCAATGTGTTTACTAATAGCATGCTTTGTGGAGTGCCATGCTTCCAGAAATTCTCGTGCTTGTCTCTACCTAGCTTGTCCCAGGATCTTGGTGTTGTCCCAGTCAAAGTTGTGGTTCTCCTTGTCCATGTGGATTGAGGTGAGTGAGTATTGGTCGTGTCTTTTTGTAGCCAGTTAGTGTTCATGTACAGTTGTTGTTAGTTTCCTTCCTGTTTGTCCGATGTAGTGTTTCTCGCAGTCTCTGCAGGGGATTTTGTAGATGACATTGGTCCTGTCCATGGCGGGGAGTGGGTCTTTAGTTCGGGTGAGCAGTTGTCGTAGGGGTGACGTGGGCTTGTGTGCCACTCTGATGCCCAGCGGTCATAGGAGTACTCCTACAAGGAGAACCACGACTTCGACTGGGACAACACCAAGATCCT